GAGCACCACCGCCAGCTCAACGCATGTTTCTTCTAATTCCCACCACGAGCACCACCGCCAGCTCAACGCGTGTTTCTTCTAATTCCCACCGTGAGCACCACCACCAGCTCAACACGTGTTTCTTCTAATTCCCACCACGAGCACCACCGCCAGCTCAACACGTGTTTCTTCTAATTCCCACCACGAGCATCACCGCCAGCTCATTGCGTTTCTTCTAATTCCCACCGCGAGCACCACCGCCAGCTCAACGCATTTCTTCTAATTCCCACCGCGAGCACCACCGCCAGCTCAACGCGTGTTTCTTCTAATTCCCACCACGAGCACCACCACCAGCTCAACGCGTGTTTCTTCTAATTCCCACCGTGAGCACCACCACCAGCTCAACACGTGTTTCTTCTAATTCCCACCGTGAGCACCACCACCAGCTCAACACGTGTTTCTTCTAATTCCCACCGTGAGCACCACCGCCAGCTCAACGTGTGTTTCTTCTAATTCCCACCACGAGCACCACCGCCAGCTCAACGCGTGTTTCTTCTAATTCCTACCACGAGCACCACCGCCAGCTCAACGCGTGTTTCTTCTAATTCCCACCACGAGCACCACCGCCAGCTCAACATGCGTTTCTTCTAATTCCCACCACGAGCACCACCGCCAGCTCAAAGCATTTCTTCTAATTCCCACCACGAGCACCACCGCCAGCTCAACGCGTGTTTCTTCTAATTCCCACCGTGAGCACCACCGCCAGCTCAACGCATGTTTCTTCTAATTCCCACCACGAGCACCACCGCCAGCTCAACGCGTGTTTCTTCTAATTCCCACCACGAGCACCACCGCCAGCTCAACACGTGTTTCTTCTAATTCCCACCACGAGCACCACCGCCAGCTCAACATGCATTTCTTCTAATTCCCACCGTGAGCACCACCACCAGCTCAACACGTGTTTCTTCTAATTCCCACCGTGAGCACCACCACCAGCTCAACACGTGTTTCTTCTAATTCCTACCACGAGCACCACCGCCAGCTCAACACGTGTTTCTTCTAATTCCCACCACGAGCACCACCACCAGCTCAACGCGTGTTTTCTTCTAATTCCCACCAGGAGCACCACCACCAGCTCAACGCGTGTTTCTTCTAATTACCACCGTGAGCACCACCACCAGCTCAACACGTGTTTCTTCTAATTCCCACCGTGAGCACCACCGCCAGCTCAACGCGTGTTTCTTCTAATTCCCACCACGAGCACCACCGCCAGCTCAACGCGTGTTTCTTCTAATTCCCACCAGGAGCACCACCGCCAGCTCAACGTGTGTTTTCTTCTAATTCCCACCACGAGCACCACCGCCAGCTCAACACGTGTTTCTTCTAATTCCCACCACGAGCACCACCACCAGCTCAACACGTGTTTCTTCTAATTCCCACCACGAGCACCACCACCAGCTCAACGCATGTTTCTTCTAATTCCCACCGTGAGCACCACCACCAGCTCAACACGTGTTTCTTCTAATTCCCACCGTGAGCACCACCACCAGCTCAACACGTGTTTCTTCTAATTCCCACCGTGAGCACCACCGCCAGCTCAACGCGTGTTTCTTCTAATTCCCACCACGAGCACCACCACCAGCTCAAAGCGCGTTTCTTCTAATTCCCGCCACGAGCACCACCACCAGCTCAACACGTGTTTCTTCTAATTCCCACCGCGAGCACCACCGCCAGCTCAACACGTGTTTCTTCTAATTCCCACCACGAGCACCACCGCCAGCTCAACACGTGTTTCTTCTAATTCCCACCACGAGCACCACCGCCAGCTCAACACGTGTTTCTTCTAATTCCCACCACGAGCACCACCGCCAGCTCAACGCGTGTTTCTTCTAATTACCACCGTGAGCACCACCACCAGCTCAACACGTGTTTCTTCTAATTCCCACCGTGAGCACCACCACCAGCTCAATGCGCTCACCAGAGAGTATGGCTGCGTACACTATGGGCAGCGTACAGGAACTGCATTCATCTCCACATCTCCATGATGTCTGGTGTGGTTCCTCTAAAACATAAGTGTCTGCCGATCGCGTCTGATGGACCGTAATTAACCAGAGCCAACAGATAAATCTTCAAGGCTGCGGGGGCCAATGCTCACCAGCGGAAACCAAACGAAAGGTGCATAGTGTAGTATTTTATTTCGGAAAGATTGCACAAAGCTACGGATAAAAACATTCAAACAAATTCACAAATATGGCCGCCAAGTCCAGGACCATGTGGCGACGGTCGCCAGCACACTTAGTTCCATCCAACGCGTTTCACACTCTAGCGCATCCTCAGGGGTCAAAGAGTGCTGAATGCCAGATGTCTTCTATAAATACACGTTTTAGGTAGATGTGAGTGGAGCTGCATCTGGTCGCCATCTTGCTGAGGTCCGGCAGCCATTTTCCCCTAGATCAGAGACAATTTCATAAAGGCATATACTGTACAGCCGCCATTTTCCCGAAGTCTGGTGGCCATTTTCCAAAGGATAAGCGCATGTATGTACGTCGGTATTACAAAAACATGTGCAGACGCCATTTTGTCTAAAGGGACCACCCCTGACATCATGGAGATGTGGAGTTATTATATTATTATTATTATACAGGATTTATGTATTATTATTATTATACAGGATTTATGGCGCCAACAGTGTCCTCAGCGCTGTACAATATAACGGGAGACAATACAGCAACAATACAGATCAATACAAGAGGGATAGGAGGGCCTGATCCTGGGAGCTTACAATCTAGGAGGGAGGGGATGATCCTGGGAGCTTACAATCTAGGAGGGAGGGGATGATCCTGGGGGCTTACAATCTAAGAGGGAGGGCCTGATCCTGGGAGCTTACAATCTAGGAGGGAGGGGATGATCCTGGGGGCTTACAATCTAAGAGGGAGGGCCTGATCCTGGGAGCTTACAATCTAGGAGGGAGGGGATGATCCTGGGGGCTTACAATCTAAGAGGGAGGGCCTGATCCTGGGGGCTTACAATCTAAGAGGGAGGGGCTGATCCTGGGAGTTTACAATCTAAGAGGGAGGGGCTGATCCTGGGAGCTTACAATCTAAGAGGGAGGGGCTGATCCTGGGAGCTTACAAACTAGGAGGGAGGGGCTGATCCTGGGAGCTTACAATCCAATAGGGAGGGGATGATCCTGGGAGCTTACAATCTAGGAGGGAGGGGCTGATCCTGGGAGCTTACAATCTAAGAGGGAGGGGCTGATCCTGGGAGCTTACAATCTAAGAGGGAGGGGCTGATCCTGGGAGTTTACAATCTAGGAGGGAGGGGCTGATCCTGGGAGTTTACAATCTAAGAGGGAGGGGCTGATCCTGGGAGTTTACAATCTAGGAGGGAGGGGCCTGATCCTGGGAGTTTACAATCTAGGAGGGAGGGGCTGATCCTGGGAGTTTACAATCTAAGAGGGAGGGGCTGATCTTGGGAGCTTACAATCTAGGAGGGAGGGGCTGATCCTGGGAGCTTACAATCTAAGAGGGAGGGGCTGATCCTGGGAGATTACAATCTAGGAGGGAGGGGCTGATCCTGGGAGCTTACAATCTAGGAGGGAGGGGCTGGTGGTACAAAAGGTAATAACTGTGGGGGATGGACTGGTTGGAAGAGTAGAAGATTCCATTATCAGCTGAGGGCAGGATAGGCTTCCCTGAAGAGATCGGTTTTCAGAGATCGCCTAAAAGTGAGCAGAGTAGACGATAGTCTGATAGATTGGGGTAGAGAGTTCCAGAGGAGGGGGGAGGCTCTGGAGAAGTCCTGGAGATGACCATGGGAGAAGGAGACAAGGGAGCTAGGGAGCAGGAGGTCGTAGGAGGAGCGGAGAGGACGGTTTGGGTGATATTTGAAGTGAACGCTGCTTAACGTTCATGCAGCCATACTCTCTGGTGGGCGCGTTGTGCTGGGGGTGGGGCTCGCGGTGGGAATTACAAGAAACACACTTTGATCACCTGGATGATATTAAAAGAGAAACTTTTATTTATTTGGCCTTTTCCATGTATTGGTTTTTGCAAACCGATTGATCACTTTGCACTTTATTGATTATTTCACGTTTGTTGGTCTTCGGAATATTTATGTTTGTATATTATTCAGCCTCTTTATAATGTTGTGTAATATATTATATATCACGTCATTCAGTTATTCTGAGCGCTGCGCTGGTTACATATTTGGAAGGATTTGGCAGGTTGACCTCACGTGCTGCTCTCTTCCCCCGCTGAGCACCGATTCTGCTGATTATTTCTGGGATGCTTTTACATGGCCTCTGGCGCTGTGCAGAGATGCTTTAATAGGAGGAAAGAGAGGAAGATGCGGATCATATGAGGTACACTATATTGCCAAAAGTATTGGGCCAGCCCTCCAATCATGTGATTCAGGTGTTCCAATCCCCTCCAATTCATGTGATTCAGGTGTTCCAATCTCCTCCATATCATGTGATTCAGGTGTTCCAATCCCCTCCATATCATGTGATTCAGGTGTTCCAATACCCTCCATATCATGTGATTCAGGTGTTCCAATCCCCTCCATATCATGTGATTCAGGTGTTCCAATCCCCTCCCAATCATGTGATTCAGGTGTTCCAATCCCCTCCTAATCATGTGATTCAGGTGTTCCAATCCCCTCCATATCATGTGATTCAGGTGTTCCAATCCCCTCCATATCATGTGATTCAGGTGTTCCAATCCCCTCCAATTCATGTGATTCAAGTGTTCCAATGCCCTCCATATCATGTGATTCAGGTGTTCCAATCCCCTCCCAATCATGTGATTCAGGTGTTCCAATCCCCTCCAATTCATGTGATTCAGGTGTTTCAATCCCCTCCATATCATATGATTCAGGTGTTCCAATCCCCTCCATATCATGTGATTCAGGTGTTCCAATCCCCTCCATATCATGTGATTCAGGTGTTCCAATCCCCTCCAATTCATGTGATTCAGGTGTTCCAATCCCCTCCATATCATGTGATTCAGGTGTTCCAATCCCCTCCCAATCATGTGATTCAGGTGTTCCAATCCCCTCCATAACATGTGATTCAGGTGTTCCAATCCCCTCCCAATCATGTGATTCAGGTGTTCCAATCCCCTCCCAATCATGTGATTCAGGTGTTCTAATCCCTCCATATCATGTGATTCGGGTGTTCCAATCCCTTCCAATCATGTGATTCAGGTATTCCAATCCCCCCCATATTATGTGATTCAGGTGTTCCAATCCCCTCCCAATCATGTGATTCAGGTGTTCCAATCCCTCCATATCATGTGATTCAGGTGTTCCAATCCCCTCCCAATCATGTGATTCAGGTGTTCCAATCCCCCCCATATTATGTGATTCAGGTGTTCCAATCCCCTCCCAATCATGTGATTCAGGTGTTCCAATCCCCTTCCAATCATGTGATTCAGGTGTTCCAATCCCCTCCCAATCATGTGATTCAGGTGTTCCAATCCCCTCCCAATCATGTGATTCAGGTGTTCCAATCCCCTCCCAATCATGTGATTCAGGTGTTCCAATCCCCTCCCAATCATGTGATTCAGGTGTTCCAATCCCCTCCATATCATGTGATTCAGGTGTTCCAATCCCCTCCAATCATGTGATTCAGGTGTTCCAATCCCCTCCATATCATGTGATTCAGGTGTTCCAATCCCCTCCATATCATGTGATTCAGGTGTTCCAATCCCCTCCATATCATGTGATTCAGGTGTTCCAATCCCGTCCATGGACACAGGTGTATACAATCAAGCCCCTAGGCATGCAGACGGCTTCTACAAACATTGGTGAAAGAATGGGTCGCTCTCAGGAGCTCAGTGACTCCAAGCGTGGTCCCGTGATAGGTGGCCACCTGGGCAATAAGTCCATCCGTGACATTTCCTGGCTACTAAATATTCCACGCTCAACTGCTAGTGGGATTATAACAAAGTGGAAGCCACTGGGAACAACAGCAACTCAGCCACCAAGTGGTAGGCCACGTCACATGACAGGGCGGGGTCAGCGCAGAAGTCACCAACTGTCTGCAGAGTCAATAGCTAAAGACCTCCAAACTTGGTGTGGCCTTCAGATGAGCCCAACAACAGTGCGTAGAGAGCTTCATGGAATGGGTTTCCATGGCCGAGCAGCTGCATCCAAGCCTTCCATCACCAAGTGCAATGCAAAGCGTTGGATGCCGTGGTGTAAAGCACGCCGCCACTGGACTCTAGAGCACGGGAGGCATGTTCTCTGGAGTGACCAATCACGCTTCTCTGTCTGGCAATCCGATGGACGTGTCTGGGTTTGGCAGTTGCCAGGAGAACGGTACTTACCTGACTGCATTGTGCCAAGTGTAAAGTTTGGTGGAGGGGGGATTATGGTGTGGGGGTGTTTTTTCAGAGGTTGGGCTTGGCCCCCTAGTTCCAGTGAAGGGAACTCTTAAGGCGACATTTTGGACAATTTCATGCTCCCAGCTTTGTGGGAAGAGTATGGGGATGGCCCCTTCCTGTTCCAACATGACTCCCCACCAGTGCACAAAGCAAGGTCCATAAAGACATGGAGGAGCCAGTTTGGGGTGGAGGAACTTGACTGTCCTGCACAGAGTCCTGACCTCAACCCCATAGAACACCTTTGGGATGAATTAGAGCGGAGACTGCGAGCCAGGCCTCCTCCCCCGACATCAGTGCCTGACCTGACAAATGTGCTTCTGGAAGAATGGTCCAACCTTCCCATAGACACCCTCCTAAACCTTGTGGGGGGCCTTCCCAGAAGAGTTGAAGCTGTTATAGCTGCAAAGGGCGGGGCCAACTCAATATTGAACCCTATGGACTAAGACTGGGGGGCCATTAAAGGTCATGTGTGTGGAAAGGGCGGGGCCAACTCAATATTGAACCCTAAGGACTAAGACTGGGAGGCCATTAAAGGTCATGTGTGTGGAAAGGGTGGGGCCAACTCAATATTGAACCCTACGGACTAAGACTGGGGGGCCATTAAAGGTCATGTGTGTGGAAAGGGCGGGGCCAACTCAATATTGAACCCTATGGACTAAGACTGGGGGGCCATTAAAGGTCATGTGTGTGGAAAGGGCGGGGGCCAACTCAATATTGAACCCTACCGACTAAGACTGGGGGCCATTAAAGGTCATGTGTGTGGAAAGGGCGGGGCCAACTCAATATTGAACCCTACGGACTAAGACTGGGGGGCATTAAAGGTCATGTGCGTCGAAAGGGCGGGGCCAACTCAATATTGAACCCTACGGACTAAGACTGGGGGGCCATTAAAGGTCATGTGCGTGGAAAGGCCGGGGCCTACCCAATATTGAACCCTACGGACTAAGACTTGGGGGCTATTAAAGGTCATGTGTGTGGAAAGGGCGGGGCCAACTCAATATTGAACCCTACGGACTAAGACTGATGGGCCATTACAGGTCATGTGTGTGGAAAGGGCGGGGCCAACTCAATATTGAGCCCTACGGACTAAGACTGAGGGGCCATTAAAGGTCATGTGTGTGGAAAGGGCGGGGCCAACTCAATATTGAACCCTACGGACTAAGACTGGGGGGGCATTAAAGGTCATGTGCATGGAAAAGTCGGCGGCCTAATACTTGGGGCAATATAGCGTACATGCACCAGGGACAGGTGGTATGAAGAGTGGGGTAGTTCACCTTCCTTTGATTTTTGTGAAAATGTGGACTAACCATTTTATGGCATCTTCCCCTCACTTCCTGTCCAGGTGATGGGTGTCGCAGAACAAGCAGACGTACTTACTGAGGACAAAGACTCCTAAACTATATATACTCAAAAGAAAAGAATTCACTGAAGAAGCTCCAGCACTAAAAATGAATATAATATATACTGTACAAACCTTTTTTCCCAAGCGTCTTCTGGATGGTTCAGTGATGTCATGGGTCCTTTTTGCTCTCCAGTGGTCCTTTCTGACTTGTAGACCATTCAGTGCAGTATTCTAAGCCTAGGCCAATGTGATGACAGAGGGCGGAATCATGACAGTTTGGGCTCAGAGGAGGTGGGTTAATTGACACTGGCAGTCATTCATCTTGGGAAAACTGGTGACATCTAGTGGCAGCAAGGACTTACTGCAGTGTAGCTTTTTCCGTTTCACCATTTACTGCTCTATTCATTACTTTTTCTGAAGTTCTCCTTTAAGTTTGAAGTCCTTTTATCGTTTATCCTTGTTGAGCAAGGACTGGGCATAAACATCGGACATGTGGAATTATCGCCAGTCTGTTGCGGTTTATTGAAGAGTGCGACAGCGCAGCCACGGGTGATCCCCACCCAGCCACTTCAGCTGGCTTTCATTATAAATGGTTGAAAAGGAGTCCAAATTGGACTCTTGGAGTGCAAAGTTTTCCTTCGAAGCCTCGGGAGAGCCTTGACTTTTATGTGTGTCCTCAAACTTCCGACTTCAAGAGATCACTTTCCCCTCTGTCCTCGCCTCGGTATTTCACGTGCTCATCCTGATACAAGGCTCGGAGGAATAGATCGATTTTTCAGGGATATATATCTGTCAGAGGCGGATAATTCTCTTCATGTTTCTGTCAGTAGCAGAGAAATGATTTGTCTTATGCAACGTGGGAAACATCAGCACTGATTTATAAAAACTGGAGGAAGGGAAGCGACCTCATTCCTCTGAAATCTCAAGTATATTCGATATTTAAGGGGAGAAAATGAACAGCCTGGATCAGCACTTCCCAACCATCCTAACATGGGGGAACCCTGGAAATAACAATCAGGTCACAGGGAACCACCACTGGTAATTACTATATCTACAGCTCATATGGACCATAGATGGGGCAGTAAGGGGATGTACAAAATAAATAAACGCATGTGAAGTACATATTGTGTGTGACACCCAGAGCTGTCCTATAGAGCAATCGAACTTCTAGTAATGACAACGAAATTCAAAATAATAATAATGGCCAGCAAACCATAGAAATTGTAGTGTTCCCTCACATTGGTGGTCAGTGGGACAAGAACCCTTTCACATTGGTGGTCAGTTTTAGGAGGACCCGCTTATGTTGGTGATCAGTAGAAGAAGAACCCTGTTACATTGATGGTCAGTTTTAGGAGGACCCACTTATGTTGGTGATCAATAGAGGAAGAACCCTCTTACATTAGTGGTGGGTTTTAGGAGGACCCGCTTATGTTGGTGATCAGTAGAAGAAGAACCCTCTTACATTGGTGGTCAGTTTTAGGAGGACCAGTTTATGTTGGTGATCAACAGAGGAAGAACCCTCTTACATTGGTGGTCAGTTTTAGGAGGACCCGCTTATGTTAATGATCGATAGAGGAAGAACCCTCTTACATTGGTGGTCAGTTTTAGGAGGACCCGCTTATGTTGGTGATCAGTAGAAGGAGAACCCTCTTACATTGCTGGTTAGGTTTAGGAGGACCCACTTATGTTGGTGATCAATAGAGGAAGAACCCTCTACATTGGTGGAGGGTTTTAGGAGGACCCGCTTATGTTGGTGATCAGTAGAAGAACCCTCTTACATTGGTGGTCAGTTTTAGGAGGACCCGTATATGTTGGTGATCAGTAGAAGAAGAACCCTCTACATTGGTGGTTGGTTTTAAGAGGACCGGTTTATGTTGGTGATCAGTAGAAGAACCCTCTTACATTGGTGGTCAGTTTTAGGAGGACCTGCTTATGTTGGTGATCAGTAGAAGAACCCTCTTACATTGGTGGTCAGTTTTAGGAGGATCCGCTTATGTTGGTGATCAGTAGAAGAAGAACCCTCTTACATTGGTGGTCAGTATAAGAAGAACCCTGTTACATTGGCAATCAGTGGAAGGACCCTCTTACATTGGTGGTCAGTATAAGAAGAACCCTGTTACATTGGCAATCAGTGGAAGGACCCTCTTACATTGGTCATCAGTGGAGAAGGACCCTCTTACATTGCTAGCCAGTGGGAGAAGGACTTTCCTATATTGGTCGTCAGTGTGAGAAGGACCCCCTTTCATTGCTGGTCAGCGGGAGAAGCACCATCGTACATTGGTTCTGAGTGGGAGAAGAACCCTCTTTCATTGGCAGTCAGCAGGAGAAGGAGCCTCCTGCATTGGTCCTCGGAGAAGTACTACATTTGTAATCAGTGAGAGAAGGACCCTCTTACATTTGAGGTCAGTAGGAGAAGGAAAGGCCTCCTATGTTGGTGGTCAATGGAAGAAGGACTGTTTTACATTGTTGTTCAGTGGGAAAATGACCCTCTTACTCTGGTGGTCAGAGGGAAAAGGAAAGACCCTTTCACATTGGTGATGTTCACTGGGAGAAGGAACCTCTTACATTGGTGGTCAGTGGAAGAAGGACCATCATATTGCTGGTCAATGGGAAAAGGAACCCCTTACTTTGATGGTCTGTTGAAGAAGGGTCCTTATATATTGGTGGTCAGTAGGAGAAGGACGCTTTTACGTTGTTGGTCAGTAGGAGATGAACTCTCTTACTCAGGTGGTCAGGGGGAAAAGTACCTTCTCATGTTGGTAATGTTCAGTGGGAGAAGGAACCTCTTACATTGCTGGTCAGTGGCAGAAAGACTATCATATTGTTGGTCAGTGGGAAAAGGTCCCATTTACGTTAGTGGTCAGTTAGAGAAGGACACTCCTACGTTTGTGGTCA